CTTGAGGCCCAGTGTATGCTCTGGACTGTGCCATCTGAGTGCATTCAGGAAGGCAAAGGACATTTAGTGGGGGTGGCACCTACACTCACTTCCTCCTGGACATCAGGGTGGCTGGCTGGCCCTTGGTACTCCTTAGCTCCTGTGGCAAGTGAAATGGCTTGTGGCTGGCAGGTAAAGGGTGGACAGTTGAAAACATGCTCTGGGGCCACCTACAGATCACAGCTGCCTTGTGCTCACCTTCCCTTTGCCCCCTCCTCCTCCCACCTCCTCTGGTTCCACAATGTTATGACTTTGACCTCAGGCTGAGCACACAGAGGCATTCCCAGGTCTCAAGTCTCCTAGGTCTCTGCTGAGGCCTGACCACCAGGACTCCCAGAGGGGCGGGCAGGAACACATTTCTTGGCAGCGGGACTTGGGTGAGTTGGGAGGGTTAGGATCCCCATTGAGATTGGAGGTGAAAAGATCAGTGCCTAAACTAATGGCCAAGGTGCTTGTCTGTAGGGAGCATCGAGGCTGGCCTTGAAAGCAGGTCCGTGGCACTTCCCAAATCTTTTCAGAGTTTGTGTTTGATGCCTGTCACAGCTGGAGGTGATTAAGCGACTGGGAACCGGAGGTGATTAAGTGACTGGGAACCAGAGGTGGGTTGCGGACTTGCTGAGGACGCAGGGCATTTGTCCTAGAGCTGGGACTGGAGCCAGGGCAGTCAGAGTGAATGTGGTGATGATGCCTCTTGCCCTTCTGGCATGTGCTTTTGTGCATACCTACAGGGTCAACTCAGTGCTGAGAGTGTCACCGCTTAGTAGCAAAGGGTCAGTAAGCTCCCGGTGGTAAGCCTTGGAGCTGGGGCCTTCTGTGTCCAGGCGAGGTACTTGTCATCAGTTCTTGTCTGAGCTGCTTCACGCAGTGCCGATGGAGGCACCAGGTTTTGGCCATTTAATTTTTGAGTCCTGTCTCAACCATGGAAGCTAATGTGACTGGATTGTACAAATTTAATGAACAGCAGGAGCTTGACACCCATTCCCCACATCAGAAAAGCCAAAAGAGAGATAAAGCAGAGCGTTCGGGGGCCCTGAACAGCCCATTGCAGCAAGACCATCAACTCCTCGGCCTGGCTTGCTGTGTGTGGGGGCGAGCTCCCAGCTGCTGGTCCCCGAGGCCCACCTGTCTATCCTGGGTGTGTGCTCTGTGCTTCCTGGACACAGTCCAGTCTGGGACGCTTGTCTGGGTGGAGAGGGAAGTAATGCAGGGCTCGGAGAGGGGAGGGGCATTCTGCTTCCTGGGCATTGATGTCTGAATGTGTCTCTAAGACATTGGTGTCTCAGAAACACATGGGGCTCCCTCTTGGAGGTGGTCATCTTCGAGTTCTGAAGTGTTCTCCTTCCCTTGTCCCCTCTGAGCCTCCCTGGCACTTTGTCTTTGGCACCCCCAACCCCTGTCATCCGCTCACCCTTGAGAACTCAGGAAGCACAATCTGAAAACCATCTGCTCTTTTCCCCCAAGGCCCCTTTTGGCTCTAACGCTAGGTGACTAGAATACCATGCGATCATAGGATGGGGGCGAATGCCCCCGTGCTGACATGGTGCCCAAGTGTGGGCTTGACTGTTTCCCATCACAGAGAGTAATCCTGATATTGACTTCTTTCAAGTGCTACATTCTTAACTTTCCTTTAAGGCCTGGGAGGCAGCATATTTCATGCCCCAAAGGGTGAGGTGTGCTGGCTGGCTGCCTGGTGGGCTCTCACTGGCGGTGGAGGGAGGAGGTTTGTCTGCAGCTGCTTGTCCCCGGTGACCAGGGGTCATGGACTCAAAGGAGGGCTGGAGGACAGCTTGGGGAGGTCGTGGGGGCAGATGTGGTTCAGTGGTCACTCTGCAGCCCAGTGCGCTTCCCCTGAATCTATGTTGGGTGGACCTGTGTAGTGCCAGGTGTCAGCGGGGCAGAGCTGGGCCAGGGGCCGCATGGCTTCCCTTTGAGGATCCATTCCAAGGAGCACTTCAAGGAGAAGTATGCTGTGGATGACGTCCAGTACACAGACGAGGTCAGTGTTGTCTGCCTCTTCCTCTCCGCGCAGCTCAGGGCTTCCAGTCCCTGTCTGCTCTGGATCCCCTCTCCTCCCACAGCCACAGCCTGGACATCACAAGACGCCACCACCCGACCGCCAGCGCCTCAGCAGCGCCCTCATTAGAAGAGAGCTGCTTGAAACGCACCTCAGGTCTCCCCGAGGAGGCCCCTTTTCTGCGAGGGCAGTGCCCCTGATGCAGTGGCCAGAAGTGTCCGGTGTCTGGGAGGTGGCCACTGTGCACCAGGGGAGGACATCTCTGGGAAGGTCTGCTCTAAGTGTCCCCCAGGCTTGGCTGGGGCCTTCATGCATCAGGAGGCCCTCCCTGCAGGCCCCCTCCAGCTGCACAAGCTGCTGTCAGAAAAGCCCCAGACTACAAGAGGCCCGTGGGGTGGGGTGGAGTCGGAGGTCCCCTGACCTTAGTCCACTTCCCAGTGTGGTTGTCTGCAGTGTCATGTGGCCTAGGTAGGTGTGTGACTGTCATCCTGGGGCTTTGAATCTCTTCCAAATCCGGGCAATCAAAAGGGGCTGTCCCTGACTTTCACTGCTGATAGGGCAGGGCTGTGCCAGAGGTAAGAGCACAGCTATGCTCCTTCATTGTCTCTTTGGGGGACCAAGGCGTCCTGACACTGCAGCCACTGCTAGGCACACATGAGACCTCTGTGTTCCATCTCTGGGTGCTGTTGCAACCCCCAGGCTCCATGCAGGTCAGTGCTGGGTAGGACATAAACACTGAGAGGTCAGTGCCTAGTGCTCGAGGTCTAGCCCCGGGCTGGCAGGATCACCTGGAAGGGCCCTCCATGCCACATGTCCTCAGACAGAGGTCACATGTGGACATATACTAAGGGCTGGGGGTACGATGTGGAAGTGGCCAGAGAAGCCAGCCGACTGAAGGCCAGGCAGCTCTCCCCTCCCCCTGGGCGGGACTCAGACCGTGACAGGGGATGACGGCGCTGGGCGAGAGGAAGGTTCCCAGGGAACAGACCCACAGCGCCGTGAGGAACTAGTACGTCTCAGCCTGGTGTCAGGGGCTTGGCCCAGCCTGCTTGGGGGCAGACAGCTCACCTTGATGAATATGTCCCCAAGAAGACCCAAATCAGTACTATCCTGTCCCCAGGCACAGTCCGTCTCTAATTCTGTTGTCTTGCAATGCCAGGTCCATTTCTCTGACTTCATATCCTACCCATCCTCTAAGGCCTTGTGCCAGCCCACTGCATGCCCTGTTGACTCCAGACCATACTGGTGCCCCTCCCCTGGCTATTGGGACCAGTCTTGGACATGGTGGCTGTGTTCTGTTCGGTACCCAGCCCTTTATTGTCTTGTAAGGCCCAGTTCTTCTTCCGTCAGACATTACTCTCACACTCCTTACCCACCAAGGACATGTGGGCATCAGAGCTGGTTGAGACATGGGGCTGAACTCAGCAGTCAGGGACAGGTTCTGGTGCAGAAGATGACCACAGTGCGGCGGGGCCCGTTCAGGAGGGCCTCGGTGAAGGAGAGCAGCGTGAATCCACAGGGTTGTGGGGGCCTGTTCCTGCAGCACCCTCTGCGTGGTTGGATTGTGGAGAGAGGGGGGCTTTTGATGGATCTTTATTTTCTATCGTGATTTTAGGGCCAAGTTATCGGGGGTGACTCCTAGCATCTAAATAGTCTGTTAATGCACCCACGACCTATTATTGTATTGAGTTCTTTGGGTATTGGATCTCAAATAGTCTGAACATTTATTTGCATGTCCCCACTGAGGTCATTTGCCACTTACCTTGTATTTCTAAGTACTCGAGAGCAGGGGATCTGCTTATCTTTAGGTCTGATTTTGTTCCTGACCCTTTTCTTTGCCATAAACTCCATCTTAACAGTACTGCCCTTTGGGACCTTGACCTTCCGGGTCTTCTCAGTTTGAAACCTGGTAGGGTCATAGGACTCTGCCCGCTGAGTCAGAGCGACTCTGAGCGGAGGCCTTCCCAACTGCAGTCTGACATTTTTGCTTTAATGACTGGGGGGAACTCAACACCATTTATACCGTGATTTCTGAGGAGAAGAAGAACTGGCCTCCAAATGCCGTGAAACGGAGGCGGTCTTGAATGTCAGAACAGGAAAGCCCCTGATGATAGTGTCGAATTACAGCGCCACAGCCCAGCTCATCCTGAGCCTGTTTGTGAAGCAGAATCTTATGAGAAGGCTTCAGCTGAGTTCAGAGGACGGACTCTGTTTCAGGGTCAGGAGCTCTCCGCACCACCCCATCATCATCGTCATTGTTTATCATTTTTGTCGTGACTCTTAACTGCCATGGTTCCCCCTGGAAACAAGTGCTCAGGTTGACTGACAGGTGCTTCACTCTGAGGCGGCACCTGAAAGTTCCAGTAGTGTCACCAGCTCCCAGGATCCCTTCGTCCCTCCTGCTCTGTCCCAGGGTGAGCCATAGCTTTCACCCCATTACAGAGGAGGCCAAAGCTCAAAGATGTGAAGGGCCTCGTTCACGGCCCAGATGCAACCCTGGACCCCGGACCTTTTGCCCCCAGGGCCCAGCCTCCACCTCTGCAGCCCTGAGGGGATGCTGCAGAACAGGTCTGCGGGGGTGACGCCAGCTCTCAAGTGCCTTTGATTCTCTGTGGCTCGAAACAGAGCCTGACAAAAATACAGACGGCTGGACTGAGATACCTGGCTGGAGGAACTAGAGGTCCAGGGCCTCCTCCATCATGGAAAGTAACAGAAAGCCCCTTATGTCAGGGAGGGGCCAGTTCTGCGGCGCTCAGTCTAACTCTGGACAGCCTGGGTCATCAGTGACAAATCACAGACGGGAAGCAGCTGACACTCGTCTCCTCTAAAAGGAGGCAGGAAGCCCCCCACTCAGGCCGTGGCAGGTCACTTGATATCACATATAAAATGCAGCGTCTGTTGTAGCAAACTCGGTATCTAGTTCCCTTCCTCCCGGTAGATGATCCTGAGTTTATCAAGGTGGTAAAGTGAGTGGTGGTTCCCTTGAGAAGGGTGCGCTCAGGAGAACTCAGGAGAGGTCCTTCGAGGCATTGCTGGGCAAAGGCTGGTGTTCATAATGCGATGGGAGCTGGCGAGGTGGAGGGCACATGGTGTGCCCTCTTTCTCTCCTCTTAGTGGCGCTGGGCAGATGTTGGGAGACACGAGGGTCGTTGGCTCTGATGCAGGTGGGATGCATGTAAGAGAAACCATTATGGTAGCACAGTGATTGCTGCTGCCTGCCTCTCAGCCTCAGGGTAGAGAGGCATCAGGGAGATGTGGGGTGTGTAGTGGGACCTCGAAGGGGCAGCTGCTCCATGGGGCCGCTGGCCCAGGGTTGCTAGATACTCCGGTCGTTCAAGAGTAGCAGCAGATCCATATTGTGTGTGTTCTCTCTTGATGTTTAAATTTTAGAAACATTCAGATTTTTAAATGCATTGCCGGCCACCAGTG